GACTCATATGCCAATTACAATCATCCTGCAATATTTTTTTATCCATTCACATCAAGTCTCGAGATACCAACTTCAATTGTAAAAGTTAAAATAGAAATAGAAAAAAATATTTCATTGAGTAATTCATGTTTCACAATAAATAAATTATTAATCACAATGAGTGACTAAATGCCCATGAAATTAACCTCATTACGACTTTACCGAAGTGTCCTTGTCTGATGTGCGATAAAAAGGGATCAAAATGGCAATAAATCTTTGTGAGAGAATGATTTAAAACTTGTAATTAGACCTTCATTTCACCACAAAGTTGTCGGCTATTGTTGTGGATGAATCTTTAATTGGCATTAGGTGATGAGCTGTGATTATCAATTTTTAGGTTAGAATTTAAGAATTTCCTAATTTTGAGGTTATAATATCAAAAAATAAAAATTTTGAGGTAACAATTTCAAAGTTCACAAAATTTGAGGTTAGAATTTTAAAACTTACTAGTTTCAAAAATTCAAAATTTCAAAAAATAAAAATTTTGAGGTTAGCATTTCAAAAAATAAAAATTTTGAGGTAACAATTTCAAAGTTCACAAAATTTGAGGTTAGAATTTCAAAATTCACAAAATTTGAGGTTAGAATTACAAAACGACCTTAACCTCACCCTTAGAAACAACATCAAAATTTTTCGCAATAATTTCACACTCAAATGAGTTCCTCGAAGACAAATTAAATCTTGGCAACAAGTCTGAATGCACAAATACACAAATATAAATATTGATGTTAATTGTTTCTCTGAATTTAACGTGTAAATAGTAAACAAGTGCATATTTGAGTCTTTTTCTTTACATGAATAAATCATATTAAATTAAATGCCTTTTTCCTAGACTTCAAAAGTTTATTTTTTGGACACACAAGCTGAAGAAGCCGACGAATTTCATTCAAAACATCAGAAAATTCTGAGAAAATGTTTGAAATTTCCTCAAAAGGAAATCTTGTTAAAAGTAAATTCAGAAATTTATTTTTATTTCTTATTTGTTTGTTTTTATTTACATTTGAGTTTATTTTGTTGATAAAAAAAAAACAATTTTAATTTAATTTGAATTGAGTTGTTTATAAATGAGCAGGTTCTAAAGCTTCATAGATATTAGGTTGCCCTTACAATAATGATTTATGATTCAGGTACCTTCACATTAAAGTTTTTCTGATTCAGACGTCTTCACGTTAAAGTTTTTCTGGTTCGGGTGCCTTTACACTGAGATTTTGTGGTTTAAGAACCTTTACACTAAGATTTTGTGATCCAGGTGTCTTCACACTTGATTTTTTTGTCTATGTGCCGTCACACTATATGCTGTGTGTGTTCAGGTGCCTTCAAATTTCAGTCATTTTATACAGTAGTATTTACAATTTAGATTCTAAGTTTAGATGCATTCACATTTCACCAGAAACCCCCAAAAACAACCTCCAAAACCATAACCAGACACTACTAAGTAAACAATCTATTAAATCATAAAAAATTCACAATGCATAATACATGAGCCAAAACCTTTAATGTTCATTATCGAGATATGGTCAACAACCTCAATGAGAATTAAATTGAAATTCATCAACAGCTTAATTATTTCTCAAATGTTCCTTTTTTTTCATAATAAATTTCGATAATTTTGTTGCAAATTAATTTATTTTGCAATTAAAACTCAGTTTGTTAATTATTTTAATTGAAGATTATTATTATTGGGTTGGAATGAAGCTTGAGCTGATTTTTGTAGCATACTTGATGGTTCTTCTCGAATAGTTTCTTCATTTTGCGATAAAATTTTGAGGTTATGTTGTCATATTTAAGGTTAGGGTTCAAAACTTTGAGGTAAGAATTAAAAAAGCTAGCTCAAAAATGATAAATGAGTTCATTGACCCTCCAAAAAATCTCTCAAGTCTCCTCAAACTCCAAATAATTATTACCCCAGGTCAAGTCACTTAGATCATCAAAACATTTCATTTATTACATAACAACTCCATCGTCTCAATATTAAAACTCCTAATAAGGCTTCCAACAATTCATAATAATATATTTTATTTCTGAATCACGAGAATCGCCTAGTTGTAGCCTTTCAAATTCAATATTACAGCACTTTCGAATATTACTGTGATTCATAAATTTATGTCACAATTTTTTTATATTTTTTATTCAAGTCAGTAAGCAAAATTAATCAATGAGTAATGAGAGAATATGAGAATAAAATGTAAAAAAAAATTGAGAACTTCTATAATGATATATGGGAAATGAGTAAGAACACTCACACATACATGTGAATGAAAAAATCACCAATACAGCTTTAAGAGACAAGATAGTTAATATTAAAAAAATGTTAAGTCACATTTGCTAATGACCTTCATTACCATCTTGATTTTTGCAAATTTTATTTATATATTTTCAATACTTTGACCGCCTCGCTAATTATTTGACTTATAAAGCTATGAAGGCATGGAATATTTCATCTCTGCTTAAACTCAAGCTTATTTTGTTTTAAGTCGAGTCTGACTTCATTCATTTTTAAAATGCTAACCTGATGTCATCTTGTTGATGCAATATCAGCACGTACTCATCTCCACAATATTCAATTATTTTTCCCATAAAATCGACCTGAAAAACCTTTTTCCATTTTGCTCATTTCCTAATGGCACTTATTAGATAACAATCCGAAACAATTAGAATTTAATTTGTTCTCTGACCGCAATTTTAATAGTCAAGCATGTTGTGTGGTTGTTTGCATCACAAAATGACGTGAAGTTGTCATAAGTGTGTCAGTTTATGGCAGGTTGGAAAGCTGGAAGTGCTTGCTCATGATTTTGAATGGTTTGAGAGAGCTTTTGGGTGAAGTTTGATGATTTCGAGGTTACGTTGCTATATTTTGAGGTTATATTGATTATTTTTTGAGGTTATAATGCCAAATTTTGAGGTTATGATGCTGAATTTTGAAGTTAATCTCCCAAATTTGAAGGTAAAGCTGCCAAGCTTAATAATTTCCTGACATAACCTCAAATATTTTAATAACTTCCCATCCCACACCCCAGACACTCAAAAATTAACTCATAACTCATCTAAACACTCATCATAACACAAACAGAGCAATAATCCTTTTGATGAAAGCCTCTAAAAAAATTCACTATAAAAAGTGAATAAAAAATTGAAAAATTCCTCATTCGTCATCAATTAATTAATGAAAGACATTAAAAAATGGACATAAAAAATATAAAAATAAATATCTATGGACCATAAAAGAGATTTTTCCAAAGAAGCAAAAATATTGTTACTTTATGGACGACTGACTTTCATCACATTTATGTTTATTGTTATGCGATTCATCATTTGGCTGATTACATGAGGCTTAGTCAGTTTTTAGGAGATGAATACATAGAATGTAGTGGTATTGCCTGGGGAAGCATTGAGTATGATGAGGAAAATCTGCGGAAATGAGTAATTTGTCATGACTGAGAATTTTAAGATGACTTTGGTATCGATTGATGTTTGGCTACAGTTTGGAGGGGTTTGGAAAGATTTGGGAGCGTACCCAAAGATGCCAAGTTTGTTGAAGATCAGAAAATCAAGATACAATCTCCAAAAGTTCCAGGAACCAAAAACTGTCAATAATCTCAAGATGCGCTTTATCCACTTAACCCAAAAGTGACTTCCTTACTTGCATGTCCCTCAAAAGTCTCTCTTTCACTCGACTAAAGATTTAAAAGAAATTATTTGCTTGCTCTGTAACTTAATCAATAAGTTAATACTGAATGATGCTCGTAAAATTTTTCCACTTTTTATTCTCCGGAGCTGGGAAAAAAATATCGATGAAAAATGTTCTTCTTACTTCGGAGAAGAAACAACAAGCAACATTAGTACACAGCAGCAGAAAAAAGTGAATTTTCATCTTTCCTCGCCTATTATTATGTGAATATATTTCATGCTATTGCTGCTTTTTAGTTCAATTCAGTCGCCCCATTTGCTATCGAAAAATGCTCTCGTTCAATTTCACTTTGGACGCGTGCCAAAAATATTTTCTCTCGTTTTGTGCTGCTAGCTTGCTCTGTTCGGACATTTACACAACAAACATGAATGTGTGGAGTTTGATGAATGAAGTTGGAAAACTTCCATGGGGTTTTAGGATGCTAGAACTAGATTTAATGGATTTAAGCGTCTTCACACTTTAGTTATGAAGTTCAGGTGCCTTTACACTATAGTTTTCTGGTTCAAGTGTCTTCACCTTGAATTTTCAAATTCAGGTTCCTTTACACTAGTGTTTTCAGATGCAGATGCTTTCACACTTTAGTTATGAAGTTCAGGTGCCTTAACATTAAAGTTTTTCTGGTTCAGGTGTCTTTACATTAGAGTTTCTGGTTCAGGTGCCTTTACACTAGAGTTTTTCTGTTTCAAGTGCCTTCACACTAGAGTTTTTGTAGTTCAGGTGACTTCACATTATCCATTTAAAGTTGAAACTAGACCACAATAATCTCAAAAGACCAATAATCTTCCCAATATTTGAATTCGAATTCTTTTGAGTAAGCGGTACACAAACTGTTATTCGAAATTCTTATTTTTTTTTTGATCGACATTAACCATTTGCTTTTGTTTGTCTTTGACTGTTCTATCGGTTTTCTGACGTTTCTCATTGTTTGTTTTCTCTTCTGGTTTTGACGAAACGAAGAAGAAGATTCAAAATGAGGAAAATTTGAGCAATCAATTGTGGTATGGTAGATATGAAGAAAATGAGGCTGTTTTGTGGGTTTTGAAGACTGTTTGATGCAGATTAGAGAAATGAAGTTGGTGGGGACTGATGTTGAGTTGCGATGTACTCTTGGGATGAAAAACTGATAAACCAGGGCAAATTCAATATTTTACGAAATTCTCATGTTTTCAAAGGATATCCAACATTCTATACTAACCATATAGATCTAAAATGCTTAATTTGATTGGAAATTTGAATAATTATTTAATTTTACCTTTTTCTTCTCTATTTGCAGAAATATCGAGGTTGATTATCAAATAAGTCAATAAAAATAATATTATCAAATTTTTCATCAAACAAATTCAAATCGGTAAGAACCAGACTTTTGATCTTGTGCTATATTTTAGATCATATTCGCTAAATAAATGCAAAAAGTACTAAACATTGAAGCTTTGAGTTCAACAGATATTTCTAGATTTTTGGTATAGCCATAGCAAAAGTTAAGGGTTACTTATGAAGAACCACTCAACCCTTACTATTTCCAAGATCATGAAAGCTTTTAAACACCAAAGAACTAAGTTGCATTTTATTTAATGCCAAAAACAGTTTAAAGTTCTATAAAAATCTCGACAGCCACTAAGTCTAAGTATCACATATAAAAATTCCAAATGAATACCTTAAATTGTCTCCATTTCTTCTACTTCTCTCAACTATTTATAACCAAAAACATCTAAAACATCCATAAATACCCCATAAACATAAAAGAAAACTTTCACCCATAAACGATCAAATTATTTAACCAAGAAAAATAAGGACATTCATTCTGTCATAAGAAAAACATTTTGTCAGCCATTTCTAGACTCAAAATGTTCGTCTTACCTCACGCAAGTAAACAAAATTCACACCAAATTAACGTCAAAACAATTCAAGTCCATCCATTAAGCCCATCACAGCGTTTACATTTGTGTGTAAACTTCTTTTCTGGTTTATATATGTGGACGTGTATGTAAATTTTTTGTGGATGAATATAAACATTTGTTCTAGCATCGCTGTAGACTTGCGTTCAAGGTCATTTCGGCCTCACAAAAGAGAAAAAAAAAATATTTGTGACGTCCATTAGTCGCACACCTTCTCGCATCATGCTAATCATGGGAAATAATTGAATTTGAATAGCTTTCATGTTGATTTGATTTTTGGGTTATTTTTGGAGAATAAATGAGTTTTTGATGATAAACTCTAGTGTGAAGACACCTGAACTCCAATGATTTTGTGTAAAGGCAGCTGAATAATGGTGCTAAGACATTCAAACTTTCTAGTGTGAATGCACCTAAAAATTAGTACTCTAGTGTGAAGGCACCTGAACCTTAGAACTCAAGTGTGAAGACACCTGAACCACAAAATTTAATAAATTCAAATTAAATCCACAGCAATCAAATTATCATTAACCTTTTAATTTAAATTTAGACATAATCGAATTTTGTCTACTTCAATTTGATTCAAGAGGATTAAAAACTCAGACGTGGGTTGTACCGGGCGTCATAAAAAATGTGTCGTCAACTTTTTTTTTCGTGTGGGTTTTTCGTAAGTGAATTCAATTTCTCATTCGAATCACTGCCATTATTGTAAATTGATTGTGAAAAGTTCAAGAAAAATTAATTTTAATGGATTTTGTTGTCTGTTGAAGGGGTGTCTTGGGAGCACCCGAGAATGTCAAAGATCGTTAAAATTATCAATCAATTCGAATATTTTTTTATCCACAAATCAATTTCCAAGCCTTAAACTCACAAAATTGCAATAAAAAAAATCCATCACCTCGATGATCCCAAAATGTAATGCGGTATTTGTTATGAAACTGAACGTTTAGAACTTCAAAAGCTTATGCAAGAGAGGAAAAAAATAAAATATTTTTTTGGTGAGCTTTCGTCCTTGACATTACATCCACCATTTAATTTTCTCTCATTCTCACTTACAATCCTTTTAATATATGGAAAATCTGACATCTGTTATTGAATTTTAACACAGAAAAAATGAGCTTCTCATTCTACTTTTTAATGGATTTTGTGTTCTCGCTTTTTATTCTTCATATTTGTGAGATTTTTATTCTATTTCTTGTTGATTTTCGTGGAAGGTTTAATATCCGTACGGTAAATAATTTTTTTCTGTGGTAAGGATTTAAGTTTGAGGGGGATTTGGGTGATAAGGCGCATTTTTGGTGTTTTCTTACTTGTTTGTCTTTTTAGCCTGGTTTTTCGTCATCCATTTCTCACATGTAAGCTCATATTCTTCCTAACTGAATGACTTTGGGATATGTTCTAGGTTAGAAATAGGTTATGTGGAGGTTAGGTACAGGTTAGGTGCCATTAGCATGAACTGTCCCTCAGAATCTCTTCTAAATACACCCAAACTGTACCAATCACTACTCAATCAAAGCTAACCATCAACAAAGCTATTAAAGCACATGAAAAAGTTTAGGATGAGATAGAAAAAAATTATTTTGAAGCAGCTGAATTTCACAAAAAAAAATAATTCCTTCTTTAATTGAATATTTCAAATGTTTTATGTTCGTAAGGTTTGGGCTATTCATCCATTCATCCTCTATGCTTGTTTGTATTCTGTATTTTCTGTATACATCCTCATTCTGTGTGGATTTTGAATTTATTTTTATATCCAAAGGGGAGAAAAAGTTGATGATGTTGTGGGGAGTGAAATGTAGGGATGAGTGGATGTTGCTGAGGCTGTCGAGTAAAGTATTTGTGATCATTTTTATTTAGGGTTTGAATTTTTTTTTCTCAAAAACAGTCTTGGAATCTCAAAAACAGTCTAGTGTGAAGGCACCACACAAAAAAAATCTAATGTGAAGACAGCTTAGCCCAAAAGCTTAGTGTGAACGCACCTGAACCCCAAAAACTAGTGTGAAGGCACCTAAACATGTGAAAAACGCATTCAATTTACCATACTTAACATCCATTTTTCCCGACTTTAAAGTTTCATTTTTCCTCTCCTCAATCTTTTCATCTTGAATCACAGGGATTTTCCCCATTCGTACGTGTAATGCTGAATGTATTTTTAGAATCTTCCATAGTCTACATAAACCTGTGTATGCGAGTCATGAAATATTATGATGGTGGGGATGTGAAAATAGACGGATGGTTGGATAGAATTGAAGTGATATGTTGAATGAATGACATGAAAGGATGCAAGGTCGAAATATAAATTCAACAGTGGATTTTCAACAACATTCAAGTTGAAGAGGGGAGGAAAAAATATGCAAATTGAAATAAAAGAACGGAAAAAATTGCAATTTGAGTAAATTTTTTAATTAAAATGAGAAAATGTTTGAAGTTAGGGGGGAGATTGTGGAGTTTTAAATTAAATGAAAGGTTTTTGTGATGTTATTGACTTAATAGAGATAGAATTACATTAAATAAAGTTTTTTTTATACTTTTAATTAGGAGCAATAACCTGATAATCTGCGCATTCCGCTTCTATAAAGAATCTAGCTTTAAATTGGTATGCTAGCTATTATCCGATTCATTTAAAGCCTGTCTTCCTTTGTCGACTTTTTTTTTGTTTTCCACTCCTTAATGTGGAATTTATAGGAATATAAGTTGTGGTTTATGAATTTACTAAATAAGGAGTGACCTGTTTTGATGGACGAATATTATGTTTTGTTGGAAGGAGCATTGAGGAGGTGGATCCTTAAATGTTGACTTAAATTATGAATAATATTGGAAAGACACCTAAACTTGTGTAGACATAGTGCTAAGCCATCTGAATTTACACTTAATATACAGGAACCTAAACAGAAAGTTAGTGTGAAGACACCTAAAACCTAATGTGAAGGCACCTGAAACCTAATGTGAAGACACCTAAAACATAATGTGAAGACACCTGAAACCTGATGTGAAGACTCCTGAAAATCATAGTGTTAAAGCACCTGAAATTCATAATGTGAAGGCACCGGACACCCCTAATGTGGATGCACCTAAAACCCCAAATGTGAAGACACAAAAAAAACTCTAATGTGGATGCACCTAAAAACCCAAATGAGAAGGCACCAAAAAAACCTAATGTAAAGACACATGAAAAACCCAAATGTGAAGACACTGAAAAGTCTAATGTGAAGACACCTGAAAATCCAAATGTGAAGACACCTGAAAACCAAAATATGAAGACACCTTAATATCTGAATTGAGGACGTCTTATAATGTTTCCATATAATTTATTAGTATGTACTCCCAATCAACCTTCTGAAACATAACAAATCCACAGTCAACTTGCATTCAACCAAGCAAATTCTCATCTAGTCCATTTTACAAAAAAAAAACCATTTTTACTCTACAATCAATAATTTTTTCCATTCTTCCTCTTTACTTCCTTATAAATGCAAGCCAGCACGAATTTTTCGTGTTCCGTTTTTCATTGTTGTACAATTGATAGTGAAAAATGATAGGGTTATGTGTAATGAATGAATATAAATTTCGATAGAAGTGGGGCAGATGATGAAATGAGGCAAAAATTCACACGAATTGAATAATTTTCCCTTTGGGGCTCAATTTTATTTTATTAATAGAAAATAATTGTTGGAAAATTTTAAACAGCGATGATGATGATGATAATATGACATTTGAGGACATTTTGAGTCTCTTTAACCTCTTTATGACCTCATACCAATGTTTAGCAATCGATGGAACTTGTCGGCTGTCGTTTCAAAGCGTGAATTTCAATGTACGTGATTAATAGCGTGTTATTAAATCACCCAAACCACCCATTACCTTATTTTACTTCATTATTAAGCGGCGAAAAAATCAGAAAAGGAATTAAAAGGCGCTTGAACTTTTCTACACAAGGTCAAAACTCAATTCTTCCTTATGCGAACCTCTTTTAATGATAAATAAGCATGAAGGATTATAAAGTCATTAAAAAGAGTTCTAAGCGTGTCAAGTTGAAACAACAAACCCCATTGTTCCGGAAAATGACTGAGATTAGAGATTTTTTGAGGAAAAATATCATAAATTTTACACGTAAATGGCGTCAATGAACGCTCTAATCGTCTAAACATGCGACAAAGTAGAAAACTTTCATAAATTAATGGACAATTTAGCGTGAAATTCAATGCTATACAGCCTTCATAGACGAGAGGACAAACAAAGTATAGACAGTTGTCGCTTTTTCCCTTAAGATTATGCATAAATAATGTGAAAAGTGAATAAGCAACGCCATAATTGCGTGCACGTCGCCAACTTTCGTAACTATTGCCGCGTTCTTTGAGTTCAGTGACTATATAGAATGTTTTTTATGGAATAATTAACAGCTTTTATGAATAATTGGTTACATTTTGAGGGTTTGTTGGAAAGAAGTTACAAAGTA